TGAGATTTTGGATATAATGAAACAGTTAAAACGCATAAATTAACATCAAAAGAATTGAATTAATTCCATTAAAATGAAAGCATTCCCTTTTATTTCCCTTTTATTGTGCAATCCATCTTTTACCGATATTTCTCGCATCTTTTGCCGGCATTAGATTTTTTTTCAATCTCTCTCTCTCTCTCTATCTTGCTCTTGCTCAATTTCTCATCGCATGAATTTATGCAATTCTATTCAGTTTATTCATAATTTTTGTATGGCATTTTCATGGTCTCTACTCCTGTTTTAAAACTAGTTTATTTGTTGTTTTGTTCGCCAATGTGCGGTAGTATTATGTTTCTTTCTTCTTCTTTTTTTATTCAAATAATGCACTTTTGAATTTTCTACTATAATCACGCTTTTTTTTATTCCCCCTCTCTCTCACACATAAAATACTATCATTATGAACTTTATCAAAGGAATTTTAATCGCATATATTTGTAATTCCAATGCATAAAAATTGCAGTTGCCGAGTCCATAATAAAATGCATTTGGACGTACAATTTCTTTTAAAAAAAATACAAACGAAAATTCTATTACTTGCTCAATTGTCGCGGCATCGTGTAGAACCGAAAACAAAGATGCAATTGCGATGGAAATGTGGCAAATGACTTGGAATATATTTGCAATTGAAACAAGTTTCTTTTATCATAATCATGCAATTAGGTAAGTGGTGAGGCGGTGGCGTCGTCATCTTTGTCCATTCGGACAACATTCAAGTATCTCGAAATTCAGCCATAAAATTCAGTCGAAAGGAAATAATATCGAAAAAAAAGCAGATTGTCACAATGCATTATCATAGCAGCAGCAGAAACCAAAGCGATGAAAAACAAAATATCACATGAATACGAGCATTTTCCTATCACTGTTTCTATTTTTTTTTTTTCTCTTTCTCTTTATATGTTGTTTTTCATATTCTTTTGCTTGGCTTTTCAATGTTTTGATTTTCTATGGATAATAAACAATTCGTATTGTTATGTTATCCCGAAAGGATTGCACATTTAAACACGACTGCTTTTTTTCGGTTTCAATACACAATAGAGACGAGATTTCTTCTACCTCTCTCTCTCTCTCCATCTCTCTTGTGTATAGCATATAACGTTTCGCTATGGAATTTTATAGCGATATCGGTTTTAGTTTCTGTTCCAGATTATATGCGCATTATAATTTTTTCTCAGTCCTTTTCCACAATGCCTGATCTCTTTTATTCGGTATCTCATTCAGTATTCTCTCTCACTCACTCTCTTCATCGAATATATGTACGTATAGTTTGTGTTCGTTAGAGAAAACTAGTGATAGGAAAATAAAGGGATTTTTTAAGTACCCTTGAGACAAACACTTCATAAACGCTAACTTGTCCATTGAGTTTTCGATAAAATTCTCGTCAAATGTTTTTCCATTACTGGTCGATTACTTTACCACGACGATACACATTTACCACTTTTGTGTTGGTGCATGTGAACAAGAGAGACATTGCGTTGTGAAGATTGTGCACACTAGTGCCTTTGTCATTGTATCAATTTGTAACGTTATGTCGATGTGCGTATTGGTGATTTTTCCTTGAAACTTCTACGCTTTTTGTTTTGTTCGCCCATTTCTTCAAAAACATCATTCAATTTGGCGGCGACACAATCTTTCTTCGTTCAGGGGCTGGCGGGGGGAAGAGAGGAAAGACAGAAAAATTTACTTTGATGCATGTGTTCAACAAATATGTATCACACACGCATTTACAATGGACAGTGAAACGGTACCACTCTGAAGATTCCGTCGTTTTTTTTTTGTCTTAACAGGCACACATGCAATGAATAAATACACACACTTATTCGTGCACACGTTTTGATTTGAGATTTGGGGTTGATATTAATGTATACGAAATAGAATTTAGTTGTTTCAAACATATCACGTCATACAATTCTCCAATGGCCTTCACCGAAAAATTTGTTCAAATAAAGGCAAGCATTGACTCATTCCACTCATTTTCAACCGATGAGCATTCGCTGTGCAATTTTATCCAATTTCCTTCGTGTTAAATTTTAATTTAAAAAAAAAATTGCCACCCGTTATGCCGGTCTGGTAACGTTTCGTGCATATCGAATGCGCCACCAGAAAAAGAGACAGACAGAACAAACTTCGTTTTTTTTGCTCATTGCAGAAAAACGAAAAGTAATCATAATAATAATAAAATTATTATTGCGCAATATTCACCAGCTGAACCGACCACACACTTGTGTAGATTACACATATTTAATCACTATGGGACCATCTTTTTTTCCACATGACATTGCACACGCACTGCTTCGACAAATCTTCTTTTTCCTTTTTTTAATTAGTATTTGAATTATTTTCGCTTTTACCACATGACCAATGACAAAAAATATGCAACATACTCTACCACCATACATATGTATGAGCGATATATGCTCACATCATTTGTGATATTGACACATAATATTTATGCAGACGGAAAACAACACGAATTCATATATATGTTTGACATTCATCTGAATATTTGTATGGTTTCGATACGAGACCATTTCATCATCAGTGACAGTTATAATTTTTACTGAGTAATGAATTCGACCCAAAAATGACAGAGAGCTCTCTAGGTGCTATACATAAATGTACACACACACACGCGCGCATTAACAAAAATCGATTTACTTTGGAACTGAAAATCCGAAACAAATCCAACAACAATTAAGATTAAGAGTTATCGCCATTAACAATCTCTATGCAATGCCTTATGCAATGTGTGCTCTTCGTAACAATGTACTTCAATATCTTATTTAGAGACGTTAAAAAGTATGATGTTTTTGCAATCAAAAGTGGTTCGAGTGGTGGCAGTCGATTGGAAAAGAGCGATAGAGAGAGAGAGTGAAAGCTGGAAATTGAATGGCTAGGGTAGGTCCGCTATGTGTCACCATAAATTCACAAGTTGTGAAACACAAGTTCATGTGTTACAAAGCAAACAATAGATTCTCAGGTCTTTCATCAATTACTTGAAGTTCATTGTTTGAATGATTTCCCATTTAAAATCACCGATGGTGAGCATGAGCCAGCGATAGAAAGAGAGAAAAAAGGGAGCAGAAGCCATCGAATACATTACTTGCGATTTGACAACAATCAGTTTGAGCTAAACAACAGGAAAATGACTAGTACTATGCGAAGATGCAACTAACAATAGCAATTCAATCAATTGCGTACGTTGTTCGGCAACTATAACATGAAACATTCCACATTTTGTACATGTATGGTGTTGTATACAATGCGTCATCGAAAATTACGAATTGACATTTGACAATGGTCGTTCTGCTCTCGTTGTTCGGTCTCTTATTTTATCCACAAGTATACATCATGTGGAGTTTCTAAGTCTTTATATGTTTTATTTTGGCATAAGCATGTGATTGAGATTAAAATTAATAAGAGCCAACACAATGCCAATCAGAAGGAATTCCGTCTTTCATACACGCTACAACTATGGTCGGCACTTTTTTACGAAGGGACAAAATCCGGATGTTTAAATGTTATGAATGTGCGTGTGTGTGTGTGTGTATTTGCGATGATTATGATGGGCAAGAAAGACCTGGACGCGCAATTTACTTTTTCAAATCAAATGAAACCTTATTATGTTTCATCTTTTTCTTGTTCATGTTGGTTTGATTTCAATTGAATGCGTTTCTAATTTGAAACAGGAAAATATGACGGATGCCGATTTTGATGAATCAAAGAATCGTTACCATCTATTAAGTAAATTAGATTACGAAAGGTGCAATTTGGTTTATACGGTCAAACGCGTTTTTGAGCCGCACACACACGCACACGCGCTTGTTCGTATGACGATTTGATCTCTAATCGAGATAATTTTCTCATTTTTGGAAACACAAAAAACAAACAAACACACACGCATCTAATGCCCATGTGAAAACGACAGCCCATTGTTATTGATTGATTGAATATTTGCTTTAAAAAAAACAACAACTTGTTTTTCCTTCAAAATAAAACTATTAAGTGTAATGAATATGGGGTGAGTACACTTGATGTGCTCGTATTGATGTCTAAACTTAAACTCATCGATGCATAAACGCAAACGCCCAAACTCATTTGACGCACACATACACTGTGAGTTGAAAACTAAATTATGTTGCCGCCAATTTTCAACCCTTGTTTGTTAAATACATAATTATTACACCTCCATGCATATGTGATATTTTATGTTATCACTTATCATCTCATATTTAAATACAATTAAAAGTTTTGCCTTCATCTTTTTATCGTCTTTGATGTTGAAAAGTCAGTTTGAACATTTCAGCGCCAGTTTAATCAAGTTATCCACCTTTGGTTCCACCACTATATAGAATAGAGAATGAACGCAATTTCACTTTACCACATCGAATTCATAGACACATTAACTATTTTATACGATATGAGAGTTTAATGCTCATTTTGAATATATATATTTTGCCAATAGAATGTTGGCATAAAAACTACTATACACATTATAACTATACATATTTTGCGCACCATACTGTTGTGACTTTTAGTGAAAGAGAAAATTAGTGGAAGGTACAACACATGGTAATAAGTGAATTTTATAAATTATTACATCTGGATGCTAAATATGATAAAGTGAAATATGTAATTTACCAGAGTCTTGTTCTCGTTCTATCATTTACATGGACTTTTTCTATCTTTCACACGCTCACACACACTCGCATACATCGAATCTAATCATAATTTGTGTTATACCAAAATATTTAAAAAGTTTGAATTTTCACAACAGTTTCCACATATATATGAAAACATCATATATTTTGGTGTTATGTTCTCCATTATTAAGTGATGTATTGCATTGCACCGACATCGTCTATATTGGACTTTGTTGGTGTTTTTATTATTTTGGTAAAATACCCACATTTCGGACATATTAAAATGCCAAATTTTGGCGATATTCATTCACCCAGGGATTTAGATAATGAAAATGCCACAATTTATTACATAAAAATGTACACGTTTTTTTTAACATATCTGTACGGTGTTACAAACCAACACTCACAGTACATTTGAAAACATGGAATAAATTAATTTAGACGAACATTGAATAACTTAACAACGAATAATCTTTCTATCTCTTTCTCAAATTGAGAAATCTCAATTGAATATTTCGGTGTTTGTGTGATTTCGAGTCGATGTCATTTCTCCAAGGTATTTAGTATCCATAACATATAATATTCAACATTCGTGTATACTCCACTTATTCCAACTGTTCCACACTTTTCTGCACCAAAACTGACTATGCCGGATGCAACCCAGATGCCATTTTTACGATCGTAATACATAAGTGGACCACCTGTTTGAAAAATTCCAAATGAATGTTTTGAATATATTTATTTGACACCACAACAACAACAACAACAACAAAAAAAACGAATAAATATAAAGCATTTGTCGCACCTGAATCACCCAAACAACTATCTTTCGCTCTCATACCGCCGGCACACACTTGGCCTGGTCCAATGTTTATATTGTAAGATTTGTATGTATTGATGCAATCGTACATGTCAGTGATGGGCAAACGTACTTTCAATTTTATTGAACTTGATACATCACCATATCGTTTGAATACTAATTTGATGTGCATGAGGAAAGCATGAAAAACCACACAATAAAATGAAATTAATTAGATGGTTGAAGTTAATCAATCGAGAGTAACTGGTTACTCTCTCATTAACCGCATAAATTGGCTGGCACACAATGAAAGCAAATCTTGGAACAAGTGCAAGTGATGTGTATGTGTATGTAAGTCACCCGCCATCGATTGATTCATTTTGTTTTTGTTCAAGATTTACTTTGCATGTAAAGTTGTGTGACGCACAGAACAATTTTTGTGTTTGTCTTCCATACCATTGGTTGATCCCCATCCTGATGATGTTAATTTATTACCGGTAATTAATCCACTGCTAAGGCCAACGATGGGCAAACAAATTGGTTTAATGTATTTTGAATATGAGACATTTGTATTGAGCCGAACGAGAGCGATGTCGTGATGTTTGTCTCTTGATGCATCATTATATTGTGGATGAACGATGATTTTTTCAACGCCCACATCAACAACCGGATCAGCACATTTCAGAATTTGACCACTTTCCGTTTTTGATGGCATACAATCTTGTTCCGTTTCAATATTATATTCGCCCAGGCGGATACCTTTTCTATGTGTTTTTGAAATGTTAAATACAAGACACTGTTTATTCGTATACTTTTATAAGAAATGTGAAAAGTTTTGTTCTTTTTTTTTCGTCAGTAGCGCTGACATTGTTAGCGAACAACTACGACAATGACAATAGCAAACCATTAAATAACAGTGCTACACTTAGTTGATTAGTGTGTATTAATCAGACATTAGGCTCGAGCTATGCATATAGCGGCTGCTATTTTATAGGTGCTATTCATAGGCGCTATTTAATTCGTGTGCTGTGTATAACACCGAGTAGGAATATCATAGCCTACTATTCTTTTGTACATTTGAATGTGAGTACGAGAGAGATGTAGAAAATAACGCACAATATGCATAAATGCATTAAAACGAGATAAATAGCGCCTATGAATAGCAGCTATGAAATAGCAGCCGCTATATCCATAGCTCAAACCTAATGTCTGGTATTAATGAAAATTGCGAGTAAATGACAGAGCAACAAACAAATTTTCTCAATATTTCTCCGAAAAAAACGTATAGATTATGGGTGTTTTTGGTTTAAACATTGATATATTAGAAGGTAAATACGGGATAGGAATAAAATGGTTTATAGTGGAGTATGTGAGTGCTATCAATCTTTGAAGCAGCTTATTTTTTTTTTATGCACTATCAATAGAATTGAACTATTTTAATTTTAATTAAGCGTGAGTCATCTTATATTGAGACTATATTCGTTCAACGTACAAACCAGATTTACTTTCATACAATTGGCCTGTGACACAATGTGCAGCGGTTAATATATATCGGTTATTGATTAACGATCCCCCACAGCCATACGGTCTACCTATTGACATTGTCAAAATAGAAACAAAATGAGCATTAACGATCGATCCACGTTTGAGTCACATAATAAACACTTACTCGAATTAGTATTGTATATCAGCAATGCCATCCTGTAAATTGATGATAATTTAATTTAAAATTAAGATTTTCTCTAAGTCACAACAAATTTCAATACCATGGAAATTCCCATATGCTGGTAAAATCACCGCCAAAAATACGTTTTCCCGAATGATATCCGTTACCGCAATCGGTTTTCTGTGGCAATAAGCTACTTTCTTCGTCGTCTTGATCGAAACGATCGGTTATCATGAATGGTGCCCCAGCCTGGAATGGTGTTACGATTGGATTTCTGTCATCATCGGCTTTGTTATCCGTACTCTTTGGCAAATTTTCGAGGTCAATAACCACCGAGGGATTGCTACAATTAGATTTCATTAGGCAACTAATTAAGCAACAACGAAGTAGTATATCTAAGTCATTGGAACAAAAGTGCTCATTTCATTCATAATTAACAGTAATTTAACACATCAAATATATGCTTATGTGTAAATATCTATGTTTCTCTTTATCTCCATCTCACACTAACTGGTCGAAAACTTTAATCAGACACCGAGATATTGAGATATGAGCATTGAAATGAAAATTTGTAATCACAGCTCACCGATATGAACTCGAACCATTTGAACAGCATACAATGGTTTCATCCATATAAATTCGATTGTCACATTGTAATTCACGCATAAAATTTATGTTTTCGGTTGTTATTGAATTTATGTATAAATTCATGTACGGTATACAATTTTCTTTAATTGTGCACGTTCCGTTCGATGTTTCATTTGGGATGTGACACTTGGTACCTGAAACAATAACAACAAATTAGTTCTTATAATGAATTACGAATATGCACATAGCGATCAATCACGTGTACGTAGATAAGATATATATTTTTTTAATTTTTTGACGAAGTACCGATTGAAGAAATATAACTCCATGATTGTTGAGCCGAACTAAACAGAACAATAAGAACGATAATGAGTGAATGAATTGAAGATGGATTTGATCTAAACATATTTGGTATATCCACTGAATTCACTGACAAGCGGCCAGAATACATACAGTATGTGAAATAAGAAATCGTTTTTTTTTTTTCTTCATTTTGTCGTTTATGTCTGTCTTGTCATCTTGCGAAGAGAAAGAAAAAAATGGTTATCAGTATGGTTGCGTTGTCATTCTTTCTTTGTCTATCCAATTTCATATAATGCGATGCGTTCTATCGTGTGCGCTTTTTTCTACCATCGAAATAGAAACATCGAATGTTTGTTGAAGCCTCAATTGATTTAAAACAACGGAAAAGAAAAAGAAGAAATAAAAACACACGCACACACATTGTACGAAGGTGAAGAGCGCAACGAATAACATTAATACGTCATAAAACCAGTTTTGCTTGATATAGAGGGACTATAAAGAGCCACATAACATAAGCGTCGATTTGTATACTTTGAATTTCTTTGTATTTTGATTGCTGACAACAAGGCCAAAGAAAACAAAACGACGCACCAAAATTGGATGTCTTTTTGAAATTTCATGCTCGTGTCGATCGTTGACTGCTGATTAAAATCCGCATTTTTTTGGGAAATCCATTCAAGAATAGACTTGAATTTTTCGCATGAAAATCAAATAAAGAGAAAAAAAAGAGAAGTGTTTTGAACATCCTTCTACGAGAAAAGAAACCACACTTTACACATGTAGACATACAACGGCATAATATTGTTTGCATATTTATATGTAAAAACATCAAAGGTGAATTATTTATTTGGTTTGACCTATTTCAATTTTCGATTTGTAGCGTTTTTTTTTCTATCGCTTTTTATTTTATTTTTAATCTGAATTTGCACAGTTTCACATTATTAAGCAAATAATTCCCCGAGGCTATGCCCAAAGTAATTTCCAACTATTTAGTTCATTGAAAAGGGTGAAACTTGTATGCATTCAAAAGTGTACTGTTGTGTTTGAGATTTTGTGAAAACACACATTTATTATAATAATGGCGCGTATTTACTCTTTTTTTTTCGGATACTATGTGACGAATAGGAAACATAGAATTCGTGACCTCAAGAACTCAACCGGCCCATGCAATCACAAGTACATTTCTTCCGATTTAAAAAAAGGAGAGACGAGAACATGGCAAAAAAAAACAAGGGTTAGAACATATATTTTTGATTATCAGCAAAATCAACTAACGAACGGGAAAAAATTGAATTTTCGATAAATTTGATTCACTGTACCATTTATGGTTTGCGATTTGCATCGGTTTCTTTTTTGTTCAACATACGTACACATTCGACCTTAAAATGTATTCAAGAAGAATCTGCTATTGCGTTTTTTTTAGTGGTTGTTCGCTATCGTGAAAAGATGTTACACTTTTAACATTAAATTGAAAATGATTTAAAATGCGTTTCAGGGCCGACAGGACGTTTGGATGATATTTGACAGGGTTATTGGACATGTAACTAATAGTCAATGGAAGACAGATAGAATCAATATTGTGCATGACTTACATTAAAGATGTTCAAATCCACATCGATACACATCGGAACTGTTTGTAAATCAAATTCAAGTAAATGTCAATTCAATAGAGGAGGAACATTGAACACAACAAAAAATCTGATTGTGAACCCTTTTTTTCAACTCATCCTCCTTTTTATATGTGTCTTGTTTCACTTTTCGCATTTGATATTCCATTAGCATTTTACAAGTTGGCGCACCGGGCATATTAAGACTGCGAAGAAGAGAAAAGAATTACCAAATTGAAGCAAAGAATGAAAGGATGTAAAAAAAGAGAGCACAACGGTCGATCAAACCAAAAAACACGTGAATATCATTTCTTGGTGAGCGCAAGGGAGTGGCAACGTAAAAAAAAGATCATGCACTTTGAATTTGAAGAGTGTTTTGTTGCACGTCCTCTCCGGTTTTTTTTTGTTTGAAATAGAAGTGTTTTGCCATTTTAAATTTGCATGAAACAGAATAAAAAATGCGAACTATGCATTATTCATGAATATCAAAGGTTTGCCAACATCAAAGCGTGATGAAAATCAAAACACATGGAAAGCAACAAAAGTTTCAATTCAAAACAATGACGCAATTTAATTATTGACATGGCAGAGAACTATGAAACACATGATGACAACTTGACTTCGTGAAAAAAAAGCAGTTTGGCTTTTCAGGGAATTTTTTTTGCACCCTTTTAGCACGTGATGCTTTTTAATCGAATGTTCATTTCAAGATTGAAGGCGATAAAATGAGTAACACAAACTTAAAATACACACCAAATGTTTATTAAACTATGCTATTTGCATATGTTATCTGCTTAATTTCGAAACGAAGAAGATATATATTTTTTTTAGAAATCTTTCTTTAATTTTCAATGTCAATTTCAAAATATCCAGTTTTTCGTATCAAATAAACCAATACATATTTCGTACGTTATTTTAATTTCACATACGAACTATAAAAATACGCGTATTACCTATATTCTTGATAATAAACTTGATTCATGCAAATTGACAAACACATTGAAAGCACGCAAAAATAAACGGCAGCTGAGATACGAACAAACAACGAAAAAAAAAAAAAAAAATATCAATCTGGTTTTCATGTTAGGATTGGAGCTCAAAGAACTCTGTATCAATGAAATTGCAATCAGTATAGTTTCAAGTTGGCATTTGACAGACGCACGCGCGATCACATATTATACATCAAATTTTATATTATTTTTTCTTCTTCGTCACACCAGTCAGTAATTTCTTCACGAAGCAAACAAGTTTGTGAGTGATATGATTTTCCGTGAAATTCTATTCGAATTAAATGAACGTCAATTCAAATTACAATAATTTAATTTAAAAACAACTGAATGCATTCTCAACGCAAGTTCACAAATAGTGATTCATGACATTTTTACTTAACCTGTTAGCGTTTTTCATAGGTATATTATTATCTGTGTGATCGCTAAACCATTTAGTTGACTGTTGGCTGCTATTGATAAAAGTGTTTTGCAGTGTGTCGTTAAAAAAGGTGCAAATAAAACGCTACATCTGAAACTCTATAAAAAAAAAAAGGTTCAATTCAATTTAAAATCAATTCGTTAGAAGTATGTTGCAAATTGTTTGCATATCATTTTTATTATTGGTAGTATTTTCATCGATTCACATATCATATGCACAAAGTACGTATGAATTGCATTGAATTTTTCTTCATCTCTCGGTCTGTATCCGAATTTGATGAATGATAAAACACGTATGGCAAATTGATTTCACTATATTTCTCATAGCATATTGTTATACGCCCGAAAATAATCCCGGTGATTGCCGATCAATTTACGACTGTCCAAATGTTTTGGCGCAATTTCAAGGTCGATTAACACCTCGTACAACGAACTATTTAAGAAGTCTTCAATGTGCAAACGGTGGCGGTCAATATCCTCATGTATGCTGTGCACTGTCGTTCATTAATTTTCCGCCACAGTCACAGCCACAGCCACCGACACTACCATCTCCACCACGAAATCCATCAAATAGCAGAGGCAGTGGAAAAAATTTACCGGGTCCTGGATTGTGCGGTCTCACGTCACTAGGTACTCGTATTTTCGGTGGCGAAGATTCGGCATTGGATGAATATCCCTGGATTGCTTTATTGGAATATCAAAGTCGTAAGTTTCGCTCTTCATTTCATTAAGTCACGTTGAGCTTGTGCGTGTGTGTGTGTGTGTGTGTGTGCTGTTCATTTTTCTCTGGAGAGTGGCAAATACATTTCGATTAAGACGAGAAAGATAGAAAAAAAATTGCATTCATTTCAAGTGATAATGTGATTTCATTATGTTTCATTTGCAATCAATTAGGTAATCGACGAGAACGAAAATTAAGCTGCGGTGGTATGTAGTCACTTTGTCCAATTACATGCTTAGAATGTGAACATACTGCTTACGGATAAAACAATGAATGTGTGTACACACGCATTCTTGCTTGCAATTTTTTTCCCTTTTTATTTAGGTTCTTTAATAAATTCACGTTACGTTCTCACTGCTGCCCATTGCTTAAAAGGCGAAATCGAGAATCGAGTCGGTGTATTGTGAGTAGACATTAATATGCCAATGGTTCACTTTTTTTTTCTATATCTCACGCTCACTCTCATCTATTGAAATGATACAAATTCGTTCGTGAGATAGTTGAGTGTGAGTGGTTTAAGAACAGTATGACGGCTAATTTAGTTTGAGCAATTTCATTGATATTTCTGTTGTTTCGGCGATATGTTAATGTATGTATATTAGAACAGGCGAATACAGAATAAAAAAGTCCAAAAGTAAAAGAATAGACTTCAATGAGATTTTAACAAAGGAAAGACACTTATTGCATTGTTTTTTTTTTTCATTCGTTTCATTCGTATCTGGAAATAAATCAATTAGGGTTGCTGTAAGATTGGGCGAATATGACCTAACAAAAGAAATTGATTGCACAGGGAATACTTGTGCCGATCCCGTTTTAGTTGTGGGCGTTGAACAGAAAATACCGCATGAAGGCTATAATGAGAAAAATAAAAATCGCGCAAATGACATAGGCTTGATTAGGCTCGATTCGGAAGTCACATTCACGGATTACATCAGACCGATATGTTTGCCATCATCAGTAAATTCTCCAAGGACTCTACCAAATGAAAGACTCGTTTCAGTTGGGTGGGGTAGAAGCAAAACAAGTAAGACATTTTTGAAACAAAAAAAAAAACAAATCTCATTCTCTTTCTTTCTTTCGCGCTTTATCTATTGCTCTAATAAGGTGTTAATAGGCGTGCTTTATGATGGCACAGTAGTTTAAATGTGAGATATGCAATGAAAATGCAAATCCCGTTAAAACCTCTGTAGCACATGGCACGTGACGACACACCTAAAATTTAGTGCTCCAATTACAAATAGAGTTAGACGATGAATAAATCGTCAAGTGAATGACACTCAATTCTAAAACTCATGGTGATAATTACAAAGAGATAATTTTATAAGATCTTTCTTTTTGTCTTGCTTGTCTATTTGCATTAAAATGTTTTGCGCATCACCATTAATGGTGACAATGTTGTAATTTATGTATAACATTCTTCTTTTCTTTGTTTTTCTTCTTTTTTTTTATTTAAAATGCAGTGCGACAAACGCCAAAAAAGCAACACGTTGTATTACCAGTGTACGATCATAGTAGTTGTGTTGGCAAGTATCAAACACTTGGAATATCGGTCAACAATGATCAAATATGTGCCGGTGGCATTGAAGGATATGACACATGCGATGGAGATTCAGGAAATCCACTGATGAAAATTTCATCAACCGGTTGGGTGGCCGAAGGCATTGTATCATATGGCCGAAGCTGTGGATTAGACAATTTTCCCGCCGTTTATACAAAAGTGTCTAATTACGATAATTGGATTCGAAGAAATTTAAGAGCATAAACGTGTACAGTGATTCATCATCGTCATCGTCATCGTCATCATTAGCATCATCACTACAATCAAAACAAGAGTTGCGGTTCATCCACTAAGTTTTTTAGGGGAACGAAAAAAAAAAACTGTATGGTTTATTATGTAAATATTTTGCAATAAATATGTTATAGCCAACGTCGTAATACACAGCACATATCGACGCAGATTTTAATGCTCATAATGTGCATTAAAAACATACTACGATAAAAAAGCACATATATATTATAATAATTTCAACTGAAAGAATTGTCGCGCGGATACATTTTGGTGCATCTCCTCAATTTTTTGTTGTTGTTCTCTTCTTGTCGCTCATACACTTTTAATTCGTCCCATATTTTGACGCACTAAATCTCTTTCTCTCGAATATCAATGTGAACGACACATACACATCAATAAAAAAAACATTTCCAACGTATTTTTGATTCCCCGAATCGCAGTCAAAACAATGAACAGTGAAAACCAAAACGAAAAAAAAAAAAATGATATAAAGTCGTTTACTTTTCCATCCATATCGATATATGCTACAGCAATAAAAAACAAAAGCAAAATTTTATGCGTTTCTAAAATTTATATTGTTTTTATTTCATACCGTGCATAAAACCGAATATTTTCAGTTCATATCGAAGAAATGCGACTGCGAAAAAAAGGAGATAACGAGCACAAAAAGTAGCAATAAACTACAGAGAGAGAGACAAAAGAAACGGAATGGATATTGTGTATGCACTTACATTTTCGAGAGCAAGAGAGATGTGTCAAAATGTCTCTCGATCTGTTTATCGTGCGGGGTCATTGATATACAGTCGATTATCTACTTTTTATAATTAAGGACATTCATTGTGCTTGTTATTATTTTTGGAAGAAAAAAAAATATGAACTATGAAATAAAAATGCGAGAGAGTTTAGGAAAAAAAGGCACACACTCATACATACACAGAAAATACCTCCCCACTGATTTATTAGTAGTTAAATAAATAACGACCCGAGCGATGATGCTTTTATGGATTTCTCAATGCAAACAAATAATTTCTCGCAGGACGCATTAACATTTAAAAATGTCTATCGTATATTTTATCTGAAATGTCAGTCACAATTATTGAAATAATTACAACATATATAAATTTGTAACATTGATTTGATAGCATATTAAAAATGTATTGTCATACACACAGCATGAAATTGAACTTTATTATTTTTTTTTTGTTAGACCTATTGAACAATTTTCAATGTGAGTTTTCTTTTCTCGCAAATTTAAAAAAATAATAATAATATTGAAATATAATACCTGCAAAATAGACTGAAATGCTAATAAAGAGAAAAAAAAAACATAATTTTTTATATTGAAGACGTGTCGGTGAATAACAACTGTTTCGTCGCATAGGATCACTCTCACTCTCATTGCGCAATTTTTATGTACAAATAATATCATTGCTAATGCACATGAACGCATATACGCATAATATAAATGCCATAATACCGTTGTATATATACCATAACGCACCATTCTCTAATTTATGTGAATCATTTTTTTATGGGATGCATTTTTTATCGTTGTCGAAATACATTCGAATGCTAACGTTACTTAATCAGGAGGAATCATCAGGGTGAGAAATGTCATTACAACTATTATTATTATCGAACGAATGGAAAAGTTTTTTTTTTTGTTTGTTTGAAATATCGCGAAAAAGAAAAAAAAGAACACAAAATATTCACCGATCCTTTCTGAATCCCGAAATCTCCTTTTGTAGCGTAAAAGAAATAAAATTAATAAGCGAAAATGAACATAACGAGAACAATTGCAATAAAATGAAGAAAAATAAAATAAAAACAGTACATACATGAAATTTAATGCGCAAAAATAAAAAAAACGGCTGTACAATCCACAATAATATAATATGTATTTTTTTTGTATATGTTTAGTTCAACCTCAATAGCTATTATTGCACTCCTTTCGATTTTGCGCGCGGAATATTGAATAGGCTTACTTTTTAAGTATCATATATATATATATTGTCGTTAAATGGCATCAATTCCCTTATCGCTTTGTAAAATATATTCGGCAACGCGTTGTCAACAGAGAGAACATGACAGATGTAGTGTAGAAAAATTGAGCGGAAAATACAAGACGAAACTAAAAAAAAGAATTTTACATTTCCATTGACGAATCGGTTGGCGAATTGGAATATTGGATGCATGAATAAATGCCGTTAAAAATAATATCCATTGAAGCGAATGTGTCCAAAAGTGTATGTTAAATTGAACGAAAGTGTGATACGGATGATGCCAATGCATTTAAATGAATCGGAATTGATTGGATTTGGTGACCGAATGAAAATGCACCACCACCGCCAACATCACTACTACCATCATCATCATCATCGCCACCAACAGTAACCAATCAAATCAGACAAATCGAAGGCATGAGTCGTCAAATTGACAATACTCTTCAATCAATCGTAATCTCTAAATCAAAGAGCAAAATGCATACATGATGACGACGTTTGACATAGTAATATGACAGGCGTCATTTTTATCATAATTGGACAAATTTTTGAGTGATAACCGTGAAATTTGTATCGCTTTCGATATGCTCGATATGAACGAAATGCCATTTATCATGTCGATGACGATAGATATTGGGCACGAACGGGCATTTCGCCTATTACAATCGTTTCAAACAAATATGCGATTCAAAGAAACAAAAAAATATTCATAACCCTATGTTTATACATCGTTGTTGAATGTTTTACGATTACTTCGGCAGATTTGGTAAGAATTTCATTTTTGTAATATAAATTGACAATAACGTGGCCGTGTGCGAGCACTCGTTCACTCTCTCCACATACAATTCATTGGTTTTTGATCGAAAACTCATTTACAGATTGCACGCGTTTCACTTTAACTGTGTTATGAATATCCAAATGCGAACCTCATACTGTTAACGTGTTTAGCAATTGATTGTTTACCACTCTTTTCTCTGATGACGATGATATACTGATACAGTGGCAATGCATATTGTGAAATATTTGATGATTCCATCGCTGACGCCATAAAATCGTGTTAAAATACAAATAAATATCATTTCAGTTCATTAAATCAATCGCTTGTTCATAATCATAATATCATTTTAACAAGAAATCAAACCTTTTTTCCCATTTAAACACAATAACATTTAGAAAATGCTAGAGAGTGGCGTAACACCATATATTACACATTGTAATCGGGTGTATGGCAGTATAGAACAAAGAGAACAAAATCAAAGAGAAGAAAGTCAGTATGCGTCGTAAACACGCAAAAACAGTTGTTTCTATCTCATGTTTTTTTTTTTTTTTTTTGAAAATGGTTTGGTTTCGATGATGTGTTTATAGTAATATTTTACATTTTAGGGAGAAATGATTGTGCGCGCGTCATACACATTAATATTAATCTATCGACTTGAAAATAATAACTTAAGTTTCAATAAGCGTTTCAGCATCGCATAAATAATAATTTATGTTATTCTTTTGTTCTCTCTATTTCACCCTCACACCACTAAATCATTTGAAACATATCGCCGATTTGACTCGTACCTCTACTGAACGGATGTTCATACCCCTTTTATTTTTTTTTCGTTGTTGTTGTTCTATCTTCTTGGCCCTGTGTCTCTTCTCTCATACATTTTCTCATCACACTGATTTTGTGTGTTTCGGTTGTTTTTGAATGCGTTTCAAAGGATTGTGGCGCGACGTGCTATTGCTATGGGCGAACGAGCAATGTCGACTTCTAACGCCACAATCAATGTTGCTGATGCTGATGCTGTCGCTGCTGCTTCTGTTTGGCTCTTCCATTACACGATATTGTAACCGCGCTGTCGCTTACAATTGTTTTCTCATTTGGTTTCTTTATTTGTGCAACTTTTCGCCAATTCAACACAAATATAATAAGTACCATAAGAATATCATAGCCGATTCCGTAAAACCAGTAAGTATATTTTACGAAGATTGTGTGTGTGTGTGAAAAAAAAAGAGTATGTACCACAAAATCAGCAGCAAGAATGTAATGGAAAAATTCATCTAATGATTTATTTTTATTCGAAAGGGTTGTCTCTAATATTTTATGTTCAGCACTCACACTCACAGTGCCCAAAACCTGAAAATCCGAATAGACCAGAAAACACAACAAAACTTATTTGCGTCGCGCAAACAGGAAAAAAATGAAGTGAAAAAGATACAAGATTTATTGCAATTGGTATCGCTTACATTCTAATGTTCTTTTTCCATCTAGTATTTAGACAAAAGCGTGTCTACTGCCTCTTCTCTCTGTTTTATTTTTTCGGTTTTGGTTTTGTTTTTGTCTTTCTCGTTGGCTTATTCACGCTCAGTCATTCACTCGTTCGCTCACTCTTTCTTGCCGATTGCTCTGGTTGTTATTTTTCTGATTATAGGTCTGCAATGAATGCAGTGCAAAGTAGCTATTATAATATATTATTCGTTGCTGGGAATAAAACATTAAGTGTTAAGTGTTTGTACAAAAGAAATCGTGTTAAATAAAATTGTGCATCTACAAGAGGCAGACGCGCTTCAAGTAAATTATTCAAATAAGCGTGACAAATCCAGTGAATGGCAACGAAATATTCACGCATTTCCTTTTTTTCGCATTCAGTCTCGCGCATTGACTCGCTATTCACTCGCTCTCTCGGTATCTGTTTTAGTCAAACTTTTGCATTGTTTTCACTTCGAATTTGTGTTATATTCTGTTTTGTTTTGTTTGGTATTATTTATATATTTTTTTTTTTTTTTGGTCGTATTCTTATTATGCATTGTTGTCGGTGCCATTGTGCGCTTCCTTAAGCCATTCGCATAGTTTGCTGGCTATGCATAATCTCAGATTAGCTGCGTCAAATGCGAACTCATTCGAAAAATACGAACGCGATAAACATCTGAGTACGCAATTGAAGTAAATGCGTGAATGTAACAGCAAAAACTACAGCATTCGCATAAATTCCGAATCCCTAAATGACAATTTGTTAATTAACGCATATTTTGAGACGAGGAATGCCCATTTTCAGTTCAACTCTTTAAAGTTATTCAAATCGAATACTCAAAAAAAGGAACATACATCACATGGCATCAAAGATAATGGCCGATACATTTTGAATACTTACATAATTTTCTTCGAAGCATTCAAATTTATTGTATATGAAAAAAAAAAAACATAACACATAAATTTTATTCATTCTCAATTCTAAAAATAGCCACCACATTAAAGCCACAAAAATTATGGAATAAGAAGAATGAAAAGGAGAGGAAAAAAAACCGAAAAAAATTACACTTCTCTCACCAAATTATACACATCATATACATATTCGACCCAAAAACAGAATTGTTTAAATATAAACGAGAAAATAAGAACGAAACATTAAAATTACACATGCAGTCATTTTCGAAGTAGTATACAGATGTGCATAGGCACTATGTATGTTCTTGCATAAAAATGCTTGGCACAAAGCTGAGCCAAACCAAATGTGCGTCGCTTTGTTTTCTTTGGTTTGTGTGTTTGTTTTCTTCATTGGGTTCGGTTCTCTTTTTTTTGCGGCGTATTGTGAATAACACTCGAAAGAGAAAACCAAAGTCTGGATTTCTGTGTTCTATATATTATTTATTTGACCGTGACAGCTTGTTTTGGTAAATTATATAAAGGCACTTTCGGCGTACTAATGCGATGAGGCAATCATTTCAGCCATCAGCCAATTAATCCTAATTCGAAAAATTTGAATTTGAACGAAAACAAAAATGACGCATTAAGTATTGTTAATGGCAATATGAATACAAATGCGATAGCGCATCTGTAACGTTCTAACATCGCAGTCATTTTCGATATATTTTATTTTCAGTTTCACAATAGTTGATTTATTTTTTTTCCCACTTTTGCCAGCTGAAAAGCCAAAACGACCAAGAAAAAAAAAAACGAACAAACAAATAAAAAACGCAGCCATAAATTCTGTATTTTCCGTAAGGGAACAAATTACTTTGTAATCAAACGACAATGTGAAAAGAGAAAAATACTGTCTATATTGATTATCGTTATCTCTTTGAATATGTCACTAAAAGTGCATGCAGACAGACAATGGATACAATATTTTGAACATATTCAAAAATCAACATGAAGCCAAACGAGATTCCGGGATCCAAACTCATACATCGAA